TCAATAAACAATCAAATGCCTTGGATAAATCAATAAACAATCAAATGCCTTGGATAAACCGATAAACAGAGCACAGCAAACCTTTTTAGAATCCCGCACCTCAAACACGTAATTTAAAACTTTTAGAGCTGCTGTGCTGCTTCCTAAAACATAAAATGTTCAATATTAGGTTAAAACAAAACATAAAAGCCTGTTTGAATAAAACCATGATCCCCCAGACCCTGATGGACAAACTACTCACACTAGGACTAAGCCCCTCCATTTGCAACTGGGTCCTGGACTTATTAACAAACAGACCTCAGTCTGTGAGGATCCACAACTTCTCCTCCTCCACCATAACTCTCAGCACTGGCTCCCCTCAGGGATGTGTGTTGAGCCCTCTCCTGTTCACTCTGCTCATGTATGATTGTGCAGCTACCCATCCAGGCTGTCACATTGTAAAGTTTGCAGATGATACAGCGGTGGTGGGATGCATCACAAACAACGATGAGTCCAGCTACAGGCAGGAGGTGGAACACCTGGAGAGCTGGTGCAGGAAGAACAATCATCAATGTGAAGAAGACGAAGGAGATGGTTGTGGACTTCAGAAGGAACAAACACACATCTACACCCCCCTGAACATAAGAGGATCTGCAGTGGAAGTGGTCTCCAGCTACAAGTACTTGGGTGTGCACCTGAACAACAACCTCAGCTGGAGCAACAACACCACCAGCCTGATCAAGAAAGCTCATCAGAGACTCTACTTCCTCAGGCGGCTGAGACGAGCTGGTCTGGAAGCTCAGTCCTCACCTCCTTCTACAGGTGTGCAGTGGAGAGCATCCTGTGCTCCAGCATCAACGTGTGGCATGGAGGCTGCACAGCTGCAGAAAGAAAAGCTTTGCAGAGAGTGGTGAAGGCTGCACAGAAGATGTTGGAGTCAGTCTCCCCACCATCACAGACATCTACACCTCCAGATGCAGGAAGAGGGCCACCTGCATCATGAAGGACCACACTCACCCAGCACACACACTTTTTGCCCCACTCCCCTCAGGAAGGAGGTTGAGGAGCATTAAGTGTAGAACCACTAGACTGAGGAACAGCTTCTAGGATGTCAGGTGAGGAGGACACCTTCCTGGTGTTTTGATCTGCACTTCTTGATCTGTTGCTTAAAAAGTCTGAACTGAATAAAAACGTAGATGAAGTCATTTAGTTCATTTGGTTCTAACGGGTCAAAGATGTGAGAAACCTTTGGATGTTCAGCTGTAACCATATTAGTCCAAATCCTGTTGGAGAATCTGTGTAGAACCAGAGGAAGTGATGATTAATGTTCTGACCCCCCCTCACTGATTACACAACACTCGACTAAAAGGCAGCTCAAATCAAACGCTCTCATTTCAGGACTAAAAATACCCAGATCTGGTTTTTCTTTCACGGCTCAGGAAGCGTCAGTCAGACGATCAGCCGGGTGACGCGACTGCCCCGGAACGCCGACCCAGAAACCACAGGAATACCTCACATTCCTGCAGGCAGTAGGTCAGCTCAGACCCCCGCTCAGCCGAGGAGGTGTCCACCTGACTCCTGAGGGGCGAGCGTTAAAGCCTCCGGCAGGATGGATTTCTTTCAGATGTCATCACCTGGACTAGTTCTGTGAACCCTTGACTCATGAATTACCAGTTTTGATGTGGGTCGTTGTGCTCTCAGAGTGATCTTAAATCAATTAGACTTGGAGCGATCAGCTCTGCGACAGTGGAAAATGTTTTTTATCTTCTGCCTCGCATCTGTAGTCAGGCTGTGGAGGCAACCGGTCCAGAAGAGGAGCCCAGACCTCCCTCTGCCCAGAGACCCTCTCCAGCTCCTCCTGGGGACACCGAGGCGTTCACCTACAGGCACCCCAATCAGGTTGAACCTCCTCAGCTGACTCTTCCATGCAGAGGAGCAGCAGCTCTACTCCGATCTCCCCCTGAATGACGGAGCTCTTCAACCGATCTCTAAAGCTGAACCCGGCCGCTCTGAAGCTCATTTCAGCTGCTTGGATCCAAGATCTGGTTCTTTGGGTCCTGATCCAAACCTCAGGACCACAGGTGAGGGTTAGAACACAGACTGTGCCTTTTGATTCAACCCTTTCTTCACCACGACCAACCGAGGCAACGCCCTCACTACTGAAGATGAAGATTGATGTCACCTTTCAGAGCTGTGGACCCATCTGGTTCTGAGTCCTGACACCAACAATACAGTCGTTGCTTCTTGTAATACAAAACAGAGATTTGAGGGACTTTGAGGTTTTTACAGCAGTTCAAACTTTAAGTTGCATCAAAATGTAGAATATAAAGAAAATAAATAAAGATTTAGTGAAAATATCCATAACTAATGACCAAAAGTTTTGGTTGCTTCATCATCGTATAAATGAAAGGCCGAGCAGAGTTTCAGGTAAAGATCACGACACAGAAACTGTCTGAGATAAAGAGTTTATTCACAAATAAAACCAGACATTTGAAATAAGCTGCAGCTGTTAAAATGTTCCTGATTTAAATCTGTGTCTTTTCAGGTTCAATCAGCACCTAAAACTATTTTAACAATCCTGCTAAAGATATAAATCTGAACGACGGGAAACCAAAGTTCGACCAAAAACACCCGATAAACAGTTTAAAACACGAAGAGCAAAGATCCTCACCATCCTGAACGCTGCGCTGCGTCAAGTCCTTTTTTACAAATTAGATTTTATGATACAAGAATTTGTCATTTTCTTGCCTGGATTAAAATTTAATAAATATTTTTAAACAAACTATTGTTTTAAGAAGTAAAAACAGAAACACAAACAAAACAATTATATAAAGTCCAGTTTTTAAAACATTGTTTATGAAAAGCACAGATTTTAATTAATTTTTATTCAAAACAAAAACAAGAATTTGATTTTATTTTACCTTTCAATGATATAAATGTAAAAAATACATTTTATCAAGCAGATTAGACTCAGCCCTTTTTGACCTGATTGTCTTTTTAAGATCATTAATTCAAACTTATTATTTAAGTTTTAAAACAAAAACATAAATATATATATATATATATTTTAGCTTAGTTTTCATCAACAAACTGCAGAATAAAATGAAAATAAACTAATATCTGTTGCTTTATACCCTTTATTACCTCTCAAACTGGGAGGATATTTAGATATATAAATATATTTGTGATGGGTTTGCCCTAAATGTCCCATCAGGGCTTCTGTCTGAAGCTGCCAGAACATCTGGAGAACATCAGTGTCACGACAGAAGTTTTAAACACATGAATGTAGAAAACGTTGGTGTAAGAGAAACATGAAGGGGCGCACCACGAGCTTCTGACAGCTTCAGACACACGTTCACGTCTTTAAAGCTTCTTTGAACTTTCCTCCTACACAACGAAACACACAACGTTCAAACTTTCAGCTCGTTTTATCCTCGCAGGATTTAGATTTTTATAGTTTCCTAAAAGCGATCAAAGCAGTCGTTTGTTTTTTAAATCCTTTCTGACACTTTTCTGCATCTGGTTTCGAAGGCGTTTGCGTCGACTCTTCACGCTGCGTGCTGACACGGGGCGTCCGGGCTTTGCCCACATTTCCAGCAGCGATAATGTTCTCGATGCCACGTCCGTCCGTCCGTCCCCGTGACGAAGGACGTACAGAAGATGAGCTGAAAGGAGGAGAAGGGCAAACTATGATCAGGTTTTATTTGTGGGTTAAAAAAGAGCTGCTGTCTAAAGCTTTAGGGGTGATACAGATGAATAAACAACAAATGTAAAATGTTTCTGCCTGTGCCTGCGTGAGTCCGTTTGTCCGTGCTGTTAGCAAAATATCTCCTGGACGAGTGGACAGGTTTAACTGAAAGTGAACCAACGTTTCCACCTGCTTCATAACTCACATCTACAGATTAGCAGGTTCAGATTATGTGGTGGCTGACAGTTTCAGAGCGTTGGCACATCTCGCAGGATGTGGCTGTGGCGGCCATCTTGAATCAAAACTCATGAAAGGCGTTCCTCCACGTTTGATTGACAGTGCCACCACGTTGCCGTGGTTTCAGACGGGTAAACGGAGCGGAGTCTCACCTCGTCGCAGCCGGAGCAGCGCGGCCACACTGACTGACAATAGTGTCTCCCGCAGAGCAGCCTCCGATCGGACCAGAAGTAGACCAGGTCCACCAGACCCTGACCACACTCTGAGCACACGAAGCAGGTGGGATGCCACTGGGCGTCATGGTAACCGGCGCGCTCCGCGTAAACGACCGGGCTGTCTTTAGCCAGCTCGCCGTGGCAGCCGGCACACCGCTGGAAGAAATGTTCAGGAAGCAGGTGATGAATTTTACTTATAGAAAAATAAAAATCTGTCCTGAAACGTAAAAAGTCCTTTTGTTTCCTCACATGTTGAGTTTTATCATCGGCTCCATTCACAGCAGAGGAGGCGACGCTGCTCGAGCCGTGGTCCTGATGCTGCGCTGCATTCTCCTTCACCGTCCTCTGAGCGGCAGCCTCCTTCAGAGCCACGCCCTCTCCAGGTAAGCCCACCTCGCCCACCCCCAGCACCTCCTGCTTGTACTGCTTCACAAACAGGATCATGGAGGACACCTGCAGACAGACGAACGAGACGTTTCATCTTTGAGTTATGGGCTTAAATCAGGCGGAGCCGTTCGTCCTACTGGTACCTCCTCCTCGCTGGAGATGCTCTGACACTTCATGGGGTCCTGATCGTAGACCGGGAGCTGGCTCAGGAGCTGCCTGCGCCGCTCCAGGGCGCCGTCGGTCCCAGAGACGGGACGCCGACTCTTTGGGAGGAGCTGCATGAACTGCAAGGCCTGAAGGAATGGAGATCCGTTTTACAGATGTCCTGTAAACTCCACAGTAGAGTTTAAAATCTTACTTATCCCACACAAACAAAACCAGTTTAAGGCGCAGCTTTGGGGTAAATAATCATTGTCGTGTGAAAAGATCATTCACGCATCTTTTCTGCAGGTTTTCCAGCAGAACAGAGAGGTTCACGTCTTTTCACCAAACCTCCCTGCAGGAGGCTGGGACGTTGAACAAAAGCAACATTTTGTGAAGCTGAGACTGTGGGAGGCAGTTTGCTGTCCTTCATCAAGTGATTCACATAAAAGTTTGACAGTTATGACCCTTGAAACACCAACATTTCTAACGAGGGCCGCTTGTAGCTGCAGCCGTCAAACATCTGACTGCTTGTGGTTCAGTCCTGCTGCTGATGCAAAACACAAAAAGATGCAACTGAAAATCCTGATAAATTACAATCATTTAAACTTTGTGCCCACAAACAAAACACAACTCGTGTTCAGCGGCAAAAATACGACTTATTTCCTTCGTATGTCATGTTTTGAAGTAAAGTTCAGTACGTTTAGACGTTTGCTGCTCGTTGAAGACGACGGCAAGTTGAACGTTTCGATTGAAGTCGCTTTGTTTAGTGTTCATTGTTTGTTTGTTCATCTTGTCGGTTCCTCCAGTGAAACCCGAGCAGCTGTTTTCTGCGTGTGAGACGATGACTAACGGTCTGGATCAGTCAAAGCGCAGCGAGGCGGCCCGAGCCGGGTCTGGATCTGCCTCGACAAGCGTCTGTCATCTCTGTAATTACAGGCTGGAGCTCCCGTCAGTCTGTTCTCAACGACCTCAGAGAGCAAATTATACACAAGAGGAGAAACGCTGAGCTACATCCAACTGTTAATCTTACGGTCATTTTTTAAAGATAAATGATCCTAAATGGACTGTGCTTATATTTAACCTTTCTATCTGATCGAGATACTCAAAGCTCTTTACAACAATCTGTGCCTCATGAACTCATTCATACAGCTCTATACTAGATCTATAATCAGAGCTTTGTCACATTCATGCACTGATGGGACACACATCGGATGCATTGAGGGGTTCAGTGTCTCGCCCAGGGACACTTCAACAAGTGACTGCTGGTAGAATCGAACCCCCAACTCTCCCATTGGAGGACAACTGGTCTAACCACTCAGCCACAGCCGCCCCGTTCTCACCAGTTTCTGGTTGAGGCCGGCCGGCGCCCAGTCGTACGTCGTGGTGCTGAACGTCGGGTCTTTGCGCGACACCACTGGATTCGTCACAATCATCCGGTTTCTCTTGTACATGCGAAGGCCGCCGCCCCCTTTGACCTTTGCCGACAGGTGTGAGGACGGCGAGTCGGCGAGCAGGCGTCCCATTCGCTGATCGTCTTCCAGGTGGCCTCCTGGAGCGGCGTGGTCCACCGTGCTGCAGCCGCACGCCACGCAGGCTTTCCTGGACACAAACACCCAACTGGATTATTTACTTTTCATTTTATTAACAAATCAGACGTTTGTCCGCCGGCAGCTGTGGCTGAACTTTATTCATCAAAAAGGACTCATTAATGATGTTCCTAAACGTATAAATTGTAAAATAAAAATAAGAAGCAGCGTTTCTTAAAGGAAGTCTTATCACCGCAGTCTTTCCTGCCAACATTTGAAACTAAGTTTAGAGACGTGTTGGAGCTCAGAGGAGTGGCTGAGCATCTTCCCCGGCACATTCTCTGAGGGCCAACAGATCACGCATGATTTAATTCACAAAGTTTGACCAAAATGCATTTATAGTTAAACATTAAATAATCTTAGATTAAAAGCCGGCCATGAAAGGCAGCAAGCAAAACACGTTCCTCAATAACTGAACTTTAGTTTCTCCATCTTCTACCACCCATCCATGGTGAAGTCACAAGACAGCAGGTCCAGAAGAACCATCACCCAGACCTCCCTCTTCCCAGTGAGACTCTCCAGATCCTCCTGGGGGACCCCGAGACGTTTTCCTGACCAGAGAGGATACATGGTCTGTCCAGCGAGTTCTGGGTCTACCCACATGTCTGGAAAACCTACAGAGGGAGGCGTCCAGATCAGATGAACCTCCACAGCTGACTCCTTTCGATGAGGAGCAGCAGCTCTACGCCGAGCTCTCCCCAGACGATGGAGCTCCTCAACCGATCTCTAAGGCTGAGCCCCCCACCCACACACAAACACAACGCTTGGATTCAGGATCTGGTTCTTTCCATCACGATCCAAACCTCTTGACCACAGGTGAGGGTTGGAACGTAGACGGACCTGTGAATCCAGAACTTTATCTTTAGACTCAACTCATTTTCACCATGACTGACTGGAGCAACACCCTCATTACTGAGGACTCCAATCCATCCATCACTGAGGAACAAGACGTCCAGGCACCTGAACTCCTCCACCTGAGGTAAAGGCTCCCCCTGACCCGTGCACCCAGTGCACGTTGAAGGTCTCTAATTCCTTTTTGTTTAAAATAAAGAGCGAATAAAAAAATAAACGCTGTATCTGTACCTCCAAGTATGTGGCTGAAAGCCAGAGCAGCTCTCCTCACACACGAGACACGACGCTGCTCCTCCTCTGGCTCCTGCGTTCATCTGAGAGGAAACAGAAATTACATGGAAACGATGGAAACTGAAGCTCCGCCACATAAAGTTCAAGCAAACTTTGAAGGCAAAGGTTTGAAATGACAACAGGAGAACATGTTAGGTGACATCCTGCAGGCTGCACCAACACAAAGAGCAACAATCCACCCTGCAGGGAAACACGTGAACCCCAAAATGAGCAACAGGTGTGCTTCTTATTCCAGGCTGAACTCGTCAGAGTCCTGGTTTGGCTCAAAGTCAAGTCAAATGTTTCCTCAAACAAAAAGTCGGAGTTTCCTTCGAGGGCTTCACTGTAAACGTGGGTCAAACAGAAAATGTCAGTTTATAATCCCGACAACATCAGAGAGAAAACCCAAACTGAAATGAAAACACGAAAAACACAGAGCCATTAGAAATCCAAACAACGAGGAGTCGGTTTGTTGAAAGCTGTTCGGGGTAACAAGACGTTTTCTCCGTTCCTCCGAGGGCGTGGAGAGACAAACCACACATTCAGGATGGATGATCTCATCTCCACACCCGATCCAAACACCGCTGGTCCTCCAGCTCAGAGCGGTCGCACGGATCAAACCAGATATTTATCTAATCCTGCTTCAGGCCCGCCGGAACGCCAGGACCATTTCTTGTTGCTCACGACCTTCAGGTCAGCTTCGACAGCCGTCTAACATCTGAGAAGCATCATCAAGCCTCCATCACTGCAATGGCACGTCCTCCTTTCTCCTCACAAACATCCAGTTTCTGCAGAACCCAGCTGTACGTCTTCTCACATCATCTCACCCGTCCTTCAGAACCTCCAGCTGCTCATCAGCCAGCACAAAGTTCTCCTGACCTCAGGGTCTTCTTCACCTCCTCACACCGTCCTCGGTTCCTCTGATTCCTCGTACCCTACAGAACCTGGGGCAGAACCTTCTCCAGCCCTCCCTCTGGAGCTCAGAAAGAGTCGACGTTGAGGCAGAATGAGCCTTTTTAAAATGTCTTGTGGTGTTTTTGTACGTGAACCCTCTGAGGTCCATGAGCAGCATAAATCAAGTGTTTTGTAATTATAATAATCTGGAGCTCAATAATCTGAATCTCAATAATCTGGAGCTCAGCTGAGGCTGTTTGCTCATTTATGCCAGACTTCCAGCACAGATGAGACATGAGACGGCCCGCCAGCTTCAGGGAAGCCGAACTTGTTGGTAACTTTTAGAAACGTTTGTTCTATTTTTAAAAGAACAGCTCATTGTCCTCATGTCAGCAGATCCAGAGATCCCACCACGAGAGATGACAGAGTGGTTTTAAATCCCCAGACAGTAAAACAACCTCTGGGTCCAACTGTCCGTCTGTCAGCAGGTATCACCAGCTTTGTCTCTGCTGGGGGGTAAATATTCACGGAGACCAACGTGGCTGCAGGGATTTGTCTCCGAACTAACAGCTGCTCCTTAAACGAATCCAACTGGACGTAAACCAGCAGCAAACTGCTGCGTTCACGAAGCTTCTGCTCAGATTTATAACAAACACTTCGTGGTTTCCTTCGTGGGACGTTAGGAGCCCTAACCTGGCAGAGGAACACGTGTTTATCAGAACGATCGTCGATCGGCTCCTAACGAGTGATGATGGATGTGAAACAGCTGAGCATCACATCCCTCTGGAACAGAGTTCAGTTGTTTATGTGTTTTATTTAAAAAATATACTTCATTTCTTCAGAGATGCACCTTTAAAATAAAATCAACAGCATCTATAAATAATCAACCAGGAGCCAAAAGCTCAAGTTCATTTAAAATAACTTAATTTTTTTCCACAAAACTTTAATTTAAGAGAAACTGTGTGTTTTTATCTGATCTCCTCTTTGTTTGTGTTGCCAACATTTATTTATTATCATGTTTTGATTCATAAATCATCTTAAATGTCAGATTCTGCAGAGCCTGGACCATGACCTCTTTACAAATGACGCTCTTTCTCTGTATGTGTGTGTGTGTGTGTGTGGGGGGGGGGGGTGGTTGTGTGTGGGGGGGGGGGGGGGGGGGTGTTACTGCAGTGGTTTTAGGAGTCCGATAAGGCGGGTCTGATGGAGGTGGATCGGACCGGGCCCAAGTATTTTAAAAATGTTGGCTATGTGAGGAGTAAGGAGCAGGAAACGCTGCGAGATAAGAGGCTGGAGGTCACGGAGAACGCTGCTCGCTCTCCTGAGTCCGGCTCGAGGCCGAAACGTTTCCTGTTCAGCTAAAATCAAAATGAAAGCAGCTAAAACTCACAGCTCTTTGATGTTTTAATAAAATGTAAAATGTTGCTGAAGTCATCGTTAAAACGTTTAACTTTTCCCTTTCGAAGAGAAACTTGTTTTTTTTACAGTTTTGGTTCTGCTTTGTCCTCTGTTTCACATTATTTAATGAAATTATTAAAAGATAAATAAAATTAATGAAATTTTCTGTAATTAAAGGTGCGGTTAGTTTAAAAATATCAACAGAAATTCTGATATTTTAAACTATTTTTGTAACATTAAGTTTTAATTGCAGCATCACAATGAAATGAAGAATAAAACAGATTAAATTAATTTCCTGCTGTTCGTTTTGAACCCTGCTGCTGCCCTGGGGTCAAACGACCCGGGGCATTTTGACCCCAGGGCAGCAGCAGGGTGCAGTTGTTTGTTTTGGCCTGGCTGTCGCTCCGTCCCGCCGCTCTTTGCTCGAGTTATTTCCATCCCGGTGTCGGGACGTTGTCCAGCTCTGGGACACAAATAAAAGGATCAAACACAAACAGGTGGCTCTGATCCGCGGGGTTATCGGACTGACCTCTGAACCACAGGAGGTTCTGCAGGAGGAGAACAGAACCGGAGGGTCAAATGAGTCCTGACTGAGAACATCCAGGATGAAGTCAGATAACAAATAACGTCATAAAATTCTGCGTCACTCGCTCCCCGAAACACAAAACGTTTGTCTTCTATACAACTTTTTGTCCAAAATGCTCGTTCTTTTTTTTACCAGATCTGTAAATAAATAATAAATGAAACTTTTCTCGTGCAACTTAAAACCTCGTTTTATGTTTTGACACTATTTTCTACTAAATTCATATTCCTGGGGGTTTTATGAGAACAATAAAATTTTATATTATGAGCAGATATTTAATTAAAACTCATTAATTCCCTCACCTGCATTACCTTTTGTTCTTCATCATTGATGCTTTTATGAAATTATTAAATAAAGTGCATAATATTAGTCAGAATAGTAAAAACTATAGTTCTGAATCGCAGACTTTAAATCTAATTTACGTATTATTTTACTCAATTTTTTGCCGTCAAACTGTCGTTTTGACTATGAAAGGAGGTAAAACACATTTATGAATAAATAACAATAAAAGTAACATATTTGAACTCATAAATGAGACTAAAAAGAATCTAAATAAATCGAGGAGCTGGTTTTGAACCTAAAACTGAAACACAAAGAAAGTTTTCTCAGAAACAGGAGAACCTGAGCGACCCCCTGACCTTTGACCTCTGCAGCAGAACGCCCCCAGATGTTTTTACCTTCTCGGCGGCCGAGCTGAGGTCCATCCCGTCCTCTCGTCTCTGCTGAAACAGAACAATGAGACTTTAAATTCCTCTCCTGTCGACCACACTTCCTCTCCCCGCCCCGTCGCTCCGACTCACCCGTCTCCTCTTTCATTCACTCACTCCTTCCCTCCTTCCTCTCCTCCCTTCTCATTAGCTCACCAACATTTCCCTCAGCTGATTCTTACTCATTCTCCTGTGTTTTGCTTTATCCTCTCCACCCTCTGCACCACAGTGCAGAGGAGGAACAGTCGAACCCAGTTCTGTTGAACCTCGTGCTCAGGGAACAACAGAGGTTCTGTTTCTGAACGGGCCATGGAATTGGGCCAGCGCAGGTCTGCAGGTTCACTGGACTGTTTGTGTTTTGAACAAAGACCGAAGGAGTCCGGCTCGCTCTGGCCCGGCGAATCAGAACGAGCCGGAGAGGCCGCTCAGCCAATGGGAGCTTCAACATGTCCTCCTCCTCTTCTTCACGTTCTGCAGAGCTTCAGTGAAGAAACGAGCGAAACGTTCTGTCCACAGTTTGTGATCCGCACGGCCTTTATTTCATTTTATGGTTCTGGTTCTGAAACAAACGCAGAATTCTTCTGAAAATGTTCTGAAAACTGACACTAAGTAAAAAAATACAAGCCCAATGCATGCAGTGTTGTCAGATCTGAGCTCAGAGTACACGTTGGGGATGACTCTCAGCTACTACCACACCAAAGTTTAGCTCAGTGTCTGCAAAACTGACTGAGATCAAGGTTCTTTATTGTCATTCGCATCACATGTGGTACATGAGGTGGAATGAAACTGTGCACTAAGGTCCCAGTTACACCCAAAAATAGCAAAGTATAAAAAGAAACAGTAGACAAGGATCTAAGATGTACGCTAAACAATAATAATGTAAAATAATATGGTGTATTAACAGCAGCCTGAACATGAGTCTGTGGTGAGCAGATGGATATGAATACAGCAGCTTGAAGGCAAGAGATCAGCAGCATGGATCAGCAGCAGCACAGGTAAAGTCACATATCACCAATTAAAGTGGAATTACAGTGATTTTTCTGGTTAGGGGTTCATGAGTCTAACAGCTTCAGGGTAGAAGCTGTTCCTCAGTCTAGTGCAGGTTTATTCAACTAAATTGCTCAGGGGGTCAGAGTTACTGAAAGCCAAGAGCTCAGGGGCCGGACATCCGGCAGTTATTGTCACTAAGTAAGGTTGTTTTTAAAGTTTAAAATCTAGTTTTATTTTAAAATGGACCAATTGATGGACCGAACTGAGATCACTCGTGGGCCTGATTTGGCCCCCGTGCCGCCAGTTGAATAGCCCTGGTGTAGTCGTTCTACACTTAATGCTCTGCAACCTGAGGGGAGCGGTGCAAAAAGTGTGTGTGCTGGGTGAGTGTGGTCCTTCATGATGCAGGTGGCCCTCTTCCTGCATCTGGAGGTGTAGATGTCTGTGATGGTGGGGAGGCTGACTCCAACATCTTCTGTGCAGCCTTCACCACTCTCTGCAAAGCTTTTCTTTCTGCAGCTGTGCAGCCTCCATGCCACATGTTGATGCTGGAGCACAGGATGCTCTCCACTGCACACCTGTAGAAGGAGGTGAGGACTGAGTTAAAGCTACTTTTGTGTTGGCTAAGGTGGATTAGCTGTAGTGGCCATCTTAGATCGGGTTGACTCCAAAGGTTAATCAGTTGTAGACCTTTGTTCGATGATTATATTCTGGGGTTTAATTAAAAGCTGTCCTCTAGCTCATGAGACATTTTGCTAACAGCCAAAATTGGCTGACTCCAGCAGTTAATCACAAGGATGCACTCGGAGTAGGACTTGTTCAGCTACTACCACAACAGATTTTAGCTCGTAAAACGCACTGATGTTTAACTAGTTGTTGTTCCTTCTAAAGTCAGTTGGTTGTAACGGCCATCTTGAATTGACTCAAAGAGATATTCAGTGTTAGACAAACACACGGTGGATATTTTATGATAGTCGCTTTAAAATTCATCCTTCATGGGATATTTTGCTAACAGACACAGCTGACTCCAATAATTAACAACATAAAGGTGTTAAAGAATTTTAACTTTGAATTTATGTGTTATGACAAAATGTTAAATAAATTAGCTGTATTTAAATTACATGTTTATCTTTCAGAGATCACAAAAGATTGTTTATCAACGCAATATTTAATTTTCACAGAAAAACATCTGGAATGAAACAAATGTCTTTTTTAACCCCAAAAATCAACTAAGCATTAAGCTTGTTATTGTGTACTGTACTGTTTATTTTTGCCTCGTTTTTAACCTAGTTTTTAATGTGATTCTTTGCAAAATCTCACCCTGTTTTATGATTTTTAAAAATATTTTTATGTATTTCAATTGATGTAATCATTAATGATTGGTATTTTATTGTGAAGAATTTGTTCAAAATGTTTTTTAAGAAGAAAAAAGTAACCACATGACCTCCTTACTAAACGTTTCTTGAATTTCTTGCAGAACTTGAACGCAGCACGACTTTTCTCTGGAAGAAAAAATAAAAGACTATTAAAGCGCATGCGCATTGCTTGAAACCGAAAGATGAGTTTGTTTTATACTGCTGTTCGTACCGTTTGCCTTTAAACACGCGATGTTTAACTGCTCTGTCGTGCGAAGCAAACAAACCGAGAAACCCTAAATAACGACCCCGCCTCTTTCCGTCTGGCCAACCAATGAGAGAGCCTGACGTCGACGTTCCACTCAAATATTCATAACTTTTCGCGGGCTTTGAGCGTCACGAGGGTCTTTCGCGCGAAAAGCGGCTTCCGTCAGGAAAAAGAAGCAGCATTTGTTCAGCAGCAGCAATGGCGGTGAGTTAAAACTGATAAAAACAGACTGTCTGGTTTTATTTGTTTAATGAAGGATGGTGGAGTTTATTAAAGTCAAATTGATCTGAATAGTTTCAGTTTTAACCTCATATTTGTTAAAGTAACGACACAAAGAGGTCGATTTAAGCTTCAGTTTGGTCTCAAAGCTGCATTTTACTCGACTATAAATGACAAATTCTGAAATTATTTTTAAAGTAGGTTCTATTAAATGTTGGAAAGTGATTTTTAGAGTTCGAGTTCCTGCCATGTGGCTCATATTGGCAATGGTTTTGTCTGATCAAAACTAAGTTTTATGACTTAAAAAAACAAACAAATAAAAACTGAAGTTACTTATCTCAAATAAAACGTTGTTAAAACTAAAAACAAGCACTTTAAACGTAAAATAAAGATGTTAAGATGGTGTTATCTGATCGAAGTCTCTGTTACTGTTCGATTCAATGTAATTAAATACTTAAAGTTAAGTCAGGTCCTCTGGACGGATAAAAAAAATAACTTGTTGAAACGTCCAGTCTTTTATCCAAAGGACTTCTTCAGTCTGAGGAGCTGCAGCAAACCCAGTCTTACAAATAGCAGCTAGTGGATCAACAGTTTGTTGTTGACATCCAGAACCAGCTGTTCACATGATGGAGGACCATCATCCTAACGATGGATCGTTAGTGCCCTGATGGCCGCTTGCTATAGATATTTGTTTTAATCAGATTAATTTTAATGATGCAACACAGTTTCGTGGAACAACCGAAAGATTCAGGGTCTTTTGAAATATAACCTACTTCAAAAAGCTAAAATCAATAAAAAAAAGTCAACTTTAAAACTCACCTAACAAAATCCTCTTAAAACCCTTACGAAAATATCTTAAGATGAGATGACATAGAACTTTATGTTTAAACTTGTGCCTAAAATACTTTGTGGAAAAATTATAAGGAGAATTTAAAGTTTATTTTTAAAATGAGAAACTTTCAGATTAAAGGTAACTTGAGTCTTGATGGATTTTAAAGTTCATAGAAAAGTATAAATTCTATGAATCATATCTCAGACGCAGTTTGATTTTACTCGTAGTTTTCCAGATGTGTTGTTCTGAAACGAGGGTCCGTACTTGATGTAAACAAAGTTTAACCTGTTTTCAGTCCTAAAATATGTTTACAGACTTGTACATGAAGAACACTTTAATCATCCATAAGAGAATAAAAACGTGTGGATTAAGTTTGATTAATTTAGTTTGTTGGATTAGTTTTAGGGGACTGAGATGGGGTCGAGGTGCGGCAGCCTTGGGGACAGGAAGTCGTGGTTTGACCACATGTCGTGGTGTCTCTGAGCAGGACACCCAATCCCTAGTTGTTCCCCGGGCGCTTACACAGCTGCCCACTGCTCCACCTGGGTGTATCCCAGGTGTGATGGGTTAAATGCAGAGAACCATTTGTCTTTGTATGGGAACAACTTGTACCTATTTCTTAGTTTGATTGTTCTGGTCTTCATGCCGTCAGTAAATGTTAAACCTCAGATTTAAAAGTCTTAATCTGCTCCGCAGACATTTTGTTTTTCGTGGTGTGAAAATGAAACGTCTCTTTGAACCCGTTTCATCGACAGGATTCCTCCGAGTCGTTCCACATGGCCACCAGCCCCAGCCGGACCTCCAGGAGAGGAGACCTGACCTCCAGCCCCGGCCGGGACCTGCCCCCCTTTGAGGACGAGTCCGAGGGGCTGCTGGGGGAGGGTCGCCTCCCCGGACAGGAGGAGGAGGACGATGAGGCAGATGGAGAGGAGCTGATTGGAGACGGGATGGAGAGGTGAGGACCAGTTTAAACACCTGGAGGAGTTTGTGTTGGGAGGGATTGTAAGAAGAAGCGTCTCCTCTCGTTCAGGGACTACCGTCCCATCCCGGCCCTGGATCAGTACGAGATTGAGGGTTTGGACCTGGATGAGGAGGAGCTGTCGGAGCTGTCACCTGGAGCCCGAGCTGCTGCTGAGGAGGCGATGAGGAGGAGGGACAGGGAGCAGGGGCTCAGTGGACGGCTGAGGAGGGGGCTGCTCTACGGTGAGGACCCTTTAAAAGTTCTCATTTCAAGAACGTCTCCACAAAACTGGAGTAGAACCAGGACTCAGATCGTGTTTTCGTTTCCAGACAGCGAAGACGAGGACGACGAGCGTCCTGCTGCCCGGCGAAG